ACTTTATGAAAGAAACAGTAAATTTAGAATGTGGGTCACCAAAAACAATCATAAAGCAAAAAATGTGCACTCAATTTGATGATGTTTGTTCCTTTTAATGAGCAATTGTCTGGGTTTCTCTTTTCTTCTTTACTGTGTGAAATAGTAATTAAAAAATGAAATTTTGAATTTAAATTTGGTAATTATATAAAGTATGATTGTTGATTTTGATGATTAAATTGTTTGTTTAAATTGGTTGACTGACTCATTAGAAGATGCCGTTAACACATGTCTATTCTTCTTCATCCCTCTTGGTTTATTGATTTTCTAGACATTGATTTATGTATGTGATTAGATTCCATGTCTTGTTAATTCACCAAACTGCCCTTTCTACGATACCGAATGTATATAATACGTATATGACAAAACGAAGCTTTTGCTCTACGAAACATTGTTTGGTACAAGTAGTTTCTGTTGATAGGGCAAATATAGCAATAATTAAATAATATCATTCCCAACCATATAATAGTATATCCATTCTTAACATTTAAACCAAAATAAATAAATAGTATATCTAATAAGATAATCTTATCAAGCTTCTCAAACATAAAATCCACAATGTTTAGATTGGTAGAGTATATTTTTGTGACACCAAATGTCTTATAGACCCCCCCCCCCCCCATCAATAAGGACTAGATTTGTGGCACTAAAAGGACAAATAGGTCTTTTCCTCAGCGGCAAAGGTAGTGATTATGCTTTGTTAAAGTTTATGGTCACTTTAGTGGGCCTACATTTGGTCCCACAGGTCTGTTCTAGTCTCAGAGACCGGACCATCATATTAAATCACTTTTATTTGTCTCACATGCGCCAATATTTTTAGATAATATCAAAATTAAGATGTTTCTTCACTCTTGGTTAACAAAACCCATCACTCTTTGACCCAAAAATAAGACATGTTTCATCACTTTTGGTCTTGGATGAAAAAATCTGTTAACTAATAACAATTTGCTGCTTTGAAATTGACAAATGTGAATCAATCAAAGTGAATGTTTAGTCACATTTTGATGCATTTTCATAATATTAGCCTAAACATAAAAATATGTCAAAGAAAGGTA